AACGACGGTATAACAACAGGCAACCAAAACAATGATAATAAGCTGATAGTAGACAACACTTGCAATTCACACACGTCGACCGATCGGTACACGACGGAAGTCGCGTTGTAATGTTCTATTAATTTAGCGACGATCGGAATGACACAGCCTCAATTCTAAACGAAGACCGCAAGACAGTATATATATATATATATATATACGGTTCGGAACGCGAGAGGTGTAACCGTTTTGATTTACAAACACAAACGCAACATACAAGAAAACCGACCTAGGCGAAGGTAAAAATCTAAAGCGGGCGCACACTTGGACACTTTGACGAAGTTCACAAGACGGTCTGAGGCGGCAACGTGCCGACAACTTATTACCACGAAGGCGTCGCACGGAGGAGTCACTATTCTTTATGCCGGTGTCTCCGACAACACCAAAAAATATGCTATCCGAAATTAGTGGCCAATGACCCTATATCACCTGAGATAGGGCAATATCTGTACGTAATCTTTACGGCGGTTATAATTCCGTAAAGATACGTGATTGTGAGGGCCGTTGACCTACTATTCCGTTTTTACTGTCGGGCAATCGATTTCAGAATAGCATATAATAGGGCCATCGACCCCAAAGGAGAGGAGTCGCGATTAGGGCGGCAATAAAATCTATTTGAAGTTATCGCACTCGATAACTTGCGCGAACAAGTATCTTAACAGTTTTTAAAATTTTAAAGGAGTATTAGTTGACGCAGGCAGTGAACACAGTCTTTTTTAATTTTTTTTGATAGGTTAAAAAGCTATAAAATAGTATATAATCTTTCATTATTAATATATCATTTATAATCAATAAAATAATATAGGTGATATATTCATATATGTAGGTGAATAAATCATTTTCGAAAATGAAATTTGATTATTGTTTGATAATGATAGTGAAAATAATGAAAAGATACCAAAAACGACTTTGTTGATTGTTTTATTATAAAGAAATTAAATTGTTCTCATTCAATAAAAAGATTACACTTGTTTGTACCTTTAATTGTTTTTGTTGTTTAATAATAATTATTATTATTTTTTTATTGTGAGATAAGCACTTTGTTGCATTCCTATGATTTGTATACAGTAACGATGGCAGTAATGATAAATACTGATATCGGCACGCTTGGTGATTCCAGTTATATGGCTCAACGTCGGTTTCTAAACTAGGAGAGGCGACTGTCCAGAGACAAAGAGCTAGGTATTGCATACCATAAATTCATGTCTGAATATTTAAGTATGAATCATACGGCATTAGTAGCTGCTCCAGATCTTAATAAATGTGCCTATTATTTGCCGCATGAAAGAATCTAGTATCACAACCAAAGTAAAAGTGGATTTTGACGGATCCGCCTCATCTAGCTCTGGATTATCTCTTAAGAGGACGCCACACACGCCTTTTTACATCAAAAATAGTGCATTCGTATTTCAAATGCTACGAGGTCAATAAAAGTCGTAGACCCATAAGTAATACACCGTTTGAAAGGTGATAATTTTTACCATGTTTTGTTGGAATCAGATATTTGAAATTGTAATTTATTTTTTGAAATATAAGTTCAATTAGTATTTGTTAAATGATCTTTTGTTATGCCATAATGCTCGCTTGTTAATACAATTTTCAGAAATCGATTTCCAATTAAGCATGGCAAAAATTATAACCTTTCTGACAGTAAATTTTTATTAGTCTGCGATAATTATTGACTTCGTAGCATTTGAAATACGTAGACGGATTTTCAAAAAAAGCGTATAATTCTTTAGCCCGTTAACTGGCGCTGCTGTATCGTGTAGCGGCTAGTTGCGTTATTATTAAAGTTGTACGGCGGTGAAACTGTCGCCGCTCCACTCTATAACACAACTATATAGTCCGTTTTGCAATGCAAATAAAAATAGAAACTGCTGGATTATAAAGACGCGATAACGTCGGCTTCTATGATTCCGCATTGGGTCGTATCTCGTATAATAATAATTATAGTATGATTTGGTTTTGGACCTGTGTTTATTAT